AATTAGTAATTAACACAAAGTTATTTAGGAATTTAAAACATTTTTTCATGTTTTCACATATTGGGTTGATAGGATTTATCCTATCATGTGCAACCCAATTCGTAAAAAGTGAAAAAAAACTTTTTTGCTAATTAGTGGATTTTATTAGTTGAGATGGTTCACATTAAAGTTAGTTTGAATAATAAGTTATTTAAACACAGTAATTAATGAATTCAATATAGTTTTCCTGTTTTCACATATTGGGTTGTTTTCACATATTGGCACGCTACAGACGGTGCTGATGAAGATGTTGCTGATGCTGGTTGCAGGACGCAATACACTAAATCAAAGTACTAAGAGTACATCAATACTGATCATGCAGAGGAGTCATTGTGAAGAGTTGGAATGATGGAATGCAGATGTTTTTGATTAGGATTTTTTCCGAGTCTCTCGATCGTTTTAAGCGGTTTTTTTAATTTTTGAATACAGAGTTTTTAAGATTCCAGCTGCTGAACCGGCATATAATTTGATGTTTCCCTTCGCTAGTGGGCTTCCAAATTGCATGAGACCTATAAATATCTTCAGGGCGTAGGTCAACATTTAGCTGAGATTTACAGATGTCAAGAATGACTGGGTCAGTTAAACGTTGTTGCTCACTAGATAACTGAATGTTATGAAACCTGAGGGTGTTCCTCCTACCGTACTGCTCAAGCTCCTCGATTTGGGATGCTAGGGAGTCAACCTGATTCTCAAGAGTTGAGCATTTGGATGACAAGGAATCGTGTAATGACTTAAGTTCATTGATTTCAGTGGCCTGGTCATGTGTCGTCTGCTGTAGCGGTATAATCATGTCTGCCATAGTACCGCGAACAATAGTCTGGAAAGTTTCACGCAGGTTGAGTATGCACGCCTCAGCCCATGCAGGTGATATACTGGATACAAATGAAGGACTGGATAGGGTGGAATGCATCAAGCTGGTAAGGTCTATAATCTTGCATTTGCCTACATCAAGCTGGAGTGGCTGGCCCTCCTCCAGAGAGGAAGGTACCCCCGAGAATGAATTCCGCCTTCTATGGGTAGGGTGGTCAGTAAGTCCGGGGGACACTGAGTCCGGAGACTTCCTTTTAGCTGGGCCTGACGGGGTGGTCCTTGAAGCCGACATTATGTAGTTAGAGTAGAATGACCAAATACGAAAAATACTAGGACGTGTTTAGTGGTCTATGTATAAGACATGTAAACAAAGATGGCTGAATTGTTCGAACAAAGGCGGTGACGAGTCGGTTGACAAAATCATAAACGTCTCTTCATGGGTGGGCATAATCGGAGTTAAGATAACATAATGACAAGAAGATTAGCACGCTGTCAAAATGACAGATATGTACCCAACGTCTAGAACACACACAGATGTATAACACAGCATTTCTTGGTGGAGCTGGTCAGATTCGGACAATGCAGATCGCCATCTTAAGACGTCATGACGGAGCGTCAAATACATTTGGAGGGGGAATATTTTAGGAATTTGCCCATGGGGTTTGTTTCAAGTGGATATTAAAATTTAGTAATGACAAGCTGCACAACATTCAAAGGAGAAAGGGTCGCATCAAAAATTTGACGTAAGAAAAAAATCGAAATCGAAAGCTGCTCTCTGATTGGCTGAAACAGAAATTGCCTAGCGTTTTAATTGGCTTGTTGACATACGATAATGTTTAAGGTTGTCTCTGACGTGACACTTGATGTGATTATTACATTTTGCTATCAACCGCTGGGTTTTTTCTACATTACCGTGTGATTGCCTATGTAAGACACACGCCCATTGTGGCAGTTCCGACAATAAGTGTAAGTGGTACATTGGATACACAGGAGATGGCTATTCCAGCTGTGTCTGCACCGGGAGTTATACAGGAGGTTTACATGGACCCGGGGACAGCTACGGTGCCGGAGGTGATAGTCATCGTGGTGGTGGAGGTGAATACGCAAACAAACCTGTTAAGGTCATTGGAGTGTATTGATAAACGGAAACAGGAAGTACATCCCTATTATCCCATATTAAAGTAGTTCAAAGCAATCCAGGCATTAATTCAGGTGTTTTTTTTAACAATGAGTCACATGTGTCCATTTTCTGTACTTCAGGAAACCGGCTACCTATTTCACTACTGTGAAGTTTTTCAAGAACGGTAACTCTTACCTGCAATTACTATGTGTATATGGTTTTATTATAAAATGTCAATTTTTATATCGTGTATAGAGAATTAATTTTACACAATTTCAGCATTTATTAAATTGATATACATTAATGCAATACTGATATATGTCAGTATCATTTTTATTGACATTATTTTGTAAAAATATTGTGTCTTTCATTTTTTTTTCAAAATTCACTCCTTTTTACATAAATTTCCATTTAAAATCCTTAAAATTCTGACAACCTATATTTTTTTTGTGGCAGAAAATTTTCTTTAATTTAAAGCAATATAACTACAAAATTTGAAGAAGTTCTACTGAGAAATGGTGACACAATCCTATTACCTTAAGGTAGACGGAGGCGATTACGGAAATACACCTGTTAATGTAGGCGGAGGCGATTACGGAAATACACCTGTACATGCAAGCGGAGGCGTTTACGGAAATTCACCTGTACATGTAGGCGGAGGCGATTACGGAAATACACCTGCTAATGTAGACGAGGCGATTACGGAAATACACCTGTACATGGCGGAGGCGATTACGATAATACACCTGTTCATGGCGGAGGCGATTACGATAATACACCTGTACATGGTGGAGGCGATAGCGATAATACACCTGTACATGGCGGAGGCGATAGCGAAAATACCCCTGTACATGGCGGAGGCGATTACGATAATACACCTGTTCATGGCGGAGGCGATTACGATAATACACCTGTTCATGTAGACGAGGCGATTACGGAAATACACCTGTACATGGCGGAGGCGATTACGATAATACACCTGTATATGGCGGAGGCGATTACGATAATAAACCTGTACATGGCGGAGGCGATAATACACCTGTTCATGGCGGAGGCGATTACGATAATACACCTGTTCATGGCGGAGGCGATTACGATTATACACCTGTTCATGGCGGAGGCGATTACGATTATACACCTGTTCATGGCGGAGGCGATTACGATTATACACCTGTTCATGGCGGAGGCGATTACGATTATACACCTGTTCATGGCGGAGGCGATTACGATTATACACCTGTTCATGGCGGAGGCGATTACGATTATACACCTGTTCATGGCGGAGGCGATTACGATAATACACCTGTTCATGGCGGAGGCGATTACGATTATACACCTGTTCATGGCGGAGGCGATTACGATAATACACCTGTACATGGCGGAGGCGATTACGATAATACACCTGTTCATGGCGGAGGCGATTACGATTATACACCTGTTCATGGCGGAGGCGATTACGATAATACACCTGTTCATGGCGGAGGCGATTACGATAATACACCTGTTCATGGCGGAGGCGATTACGATTATACACCTGTTCATGGCGGAGGCGATTACGATTATACACCTGTTCATGTCGGAGGCGATTACGATTATACACCTGTTCATGGCGGAGGCGATTACGATAATACACCTGTTCATGGCGGAGGCGATTACGATAATACACCTGTTCATGGCGGAGGCGATTACGATTATACACCTGTTCATGGCGGAGGCGATTACGATTATACACCTGTTCATGTAGGCGGAGGCGATTACGGAAATACACCTGTTCATGGCGGAGGCGATTATGATAATACACCTGTACATGTAGGCGGAGGCGATTACGGAAATACACCTGTACATGGCGGAGGCGATTACGAAAATACACCTGTGCATGGCAGAGGCGATTACGATAATACACCTGTACATGTAGACGGAGGCGATTACGATAATGCACCTGTTCATGCCGGAAGCGATCATGTTGATACATCGATATATGACAGTTAGGGTTATTATGTTGGTCCACTAGTAGAAGGGTAAAGAAGGCCATAACGACAAGATATTACGGTAATAGTGTGAATACATACTGCAGTGGAAAGGAAGATGCTCTCGAAAATAATTAAATTTGAAAGAAAATTAAACTTGATATTGTCGTTGTTGTTTTATTTTGTCAGAAAATAATAAAGTAAATACCAAGATTTTTCGTAAATATTTTTTTATCGTTTTTCTCATATCACCTATGCAAGTATTTCGATGGAAAAGATTTTTCTATGAAAACAATATTATCAGCATTATGTATATTGTCAGATCTGTGTTAATGTATAACAAAAAACAGTAATCTTCATTTATAAGGGTAGTAAAGAATATGGATATGTGAGAGAAGGTGTCCATTGTGTACCGCGTTGTTTGACAACTCCAAGTTGTTATTATGTTTGATTTTTCACACGTAATTCTAAATTCCATGCCAAAGGTTAGCTTCTGTCTTTACAAATTTTCTACATAATTTTATTTGGTATAGCAATTATTTGTTCCAATCCTCTGCGAGAGAGAAACTAGTGGAAATTCTTGAGTATTTTCTTTAGGATCCGTGTCGGGTGGTGGAGATCACTTGGAAACAAATTATTCACACTCGTGTGTACAAAAAATTAAAAAAAAATGCAATGAAACCTTGTGTCAGTGCAATGAATTTAAAGAAAATGTCTGGTTTAACATTCTACAATCATGCTCGGTATAACATGATACAATCCTGAACGTTATACCATGATACAATCCTGAACGGTACAACATGATACAATCCTGAACGGTAGTACATGATACAATCCTGAACGGTATGACATGATACAATCCTGAACGGTACAACATGATACAATTCTGAACGGTATAACATGATACAATCCTGAACGTTATACCATGATACAACCCTGAACGGTACAACATGATACAATCCTGAACGGTACGACATGATACAATCCTGAACGGTATAACATGATACAATCGTGAACGGTATGACATGATACAATCCTGACCGGTATAACATGATACAATCCTGAACGTTATACCATGATACAACCCGGAACGGTACAACATGATACAATCCTAAACGGTATAACATGATACAATCCTGAACGGTAAAACATGATACAACCCTGAACGGTATTGCATGATACAATCCTAAACGGTATAACATGATACAATCCTAAACGGTATAACATGATACAATCCTGAACGGTATAACATGATACAATCCTGAACGGTAAAACATGATACAACCCTGAACGGTATTACATGATACAATCCTAAACGGTATAACATGATACAATCCTAAACGGTAGTACATGATATAATTCTGAACGGTTTTACATATTACAATCCTTAATGGTATTACATGAAACAATCCTAAACGGTATTACATGATATAATCCTAAACGGTATTACATGATACAATCGCACTTAAGCCACGCCCCGTTTCTAACCAAAACAATATGGCGTCAAGCTCGCCTCTTAGGAAATCCCGCTGATAAGGCTAGTACTAGTAGGCAACAGAACAGCCAAAAGAAATGCATTTGTTGAATGAATTAAAAAGTAAAAATTACACATTCCTTGTTCTTACCTCCATTTATTACTGAAACGTTCGTTCCATCCGTGTGAAGGCATCCATTTCACATGTGTCGTATGCATTTACACAAAATCTTCACAAATCTATACAAATAGTCCCCGATTTTGTCGATAAGCACAGATTGGTATGCATACTGACATGGAAAGGTAAGAACTTGGTCAATATTAATCCAAATGTGTCGTATAAACTTTGATAACAGGACGTTCACGAACAATCCAAATATTCCGGTCTCGAGTTCAAACCGAATTTCATGTTCTGATCGCCAGTACTAGTATAGCCACTCAAAACAACGTACATGTACTATCCCCTAATTGTTCAATATGTTACCCTTTCACAAACAGCAATATAAATAGGTACTTATGAGTATCAACTGATGCCACTTTGACACTAAGGACAAAAACCCAAGCGCAAGTACTACATGGAAATAATTCTAAGTTCGGGAAAATTATAAATATCCAAATAATATGTAGGACATCGAAGTGTTTCATCAGTAACATCGACTTGTAACAAGTTGTAGGGTTGTTACTGTACATACAAATCTGCCAGAGATACGACAAAAGTACCAAGCATTTATTGAAAATATAGAATTATTTTGTTGTGCACTAGAAAGGACATCAATGAAGACACGGAGCAACGCATTTTGTTTGTTTTTGCGGCCGTATCCGACCGGAAGGACGAACGTTTTTGAAGCCTTCATCTACCACCGAACAAATTAATTCTCTTTTTCCCATATTTTCCGTACTTGTGTTGCTATCACGGCTCGCACTGCTCGGCCGATCGCTTCGAGAGTGCTCGCTATTACTAATTTGTATCAATAATGCCGCAGATTTGAGGCGGCATGTCAGCTGTCTGGAGTGATCCCATGGACAATTTAATTTGTCCGTCGGAAATTATTGTCTTAGCACTCTTTACATTTGACTGATATTTGTTGCAACTCTCGTGGTGTATTAATAATTATGAAAATAGGTATTCAATAATAACTTTATTAACATCACAAACGCACATGTATTTAAGTGCTACGGTTACATTGCGTTACTAAAAGTCGATGTGTGTACACTTTATTATTGTAAGAAAAGGCTTAAGCATGTTTTACCAGTTATCAAACTCCTTTTGTATTTAAGGAATTATATTCTGACATAAAAAAATGAAAGATTTTTTTAAAAAACATCCGCTGGAAATAGGGCTCAGTATTTCTAATTGGGTGAAATATTCTTCAATTATTAAAAGTCACTGTTTTCAACCTAAAAGTCCGATCATAAGGACAATATTAACCTTTGATTATTTTATTTTAGCAGCATTTTATGTCCTGGTATGTATTTCACATTTACATAGTTCAATATTTTTGATACAGTAACTTTTAAACGTAAAATGCAAAATACGTATCAAGACACGATGCGAGACATGATGTTTTAAACATTGCGCCAAAAATTATTTGCTGCGGGACTAGACTCTACTAGGGGGGCCTTTGGACTTTCCGTAGTATTTGGCAGTATGGTATAAAGACATGTCGAAAAGCCCTCGTCATTTCCGGGTCAGGTTCAAGTTAATCATGGCGGTAAAACTGCAAATTCCCCGAAAAAGTGCTTGATTTGATGTATTAGACGAATGATTACACAATTGATCATGATGGATTACTTAATTACAATTCAAACCGAAGCTATCGGCGCAGATCGCTGGAAAAAATAACAAAAGTAAGTGTTGAAAATCTTCATTTAAAATTTGGCGGTACCGGTAGTGCTCTGACGAAGCTTCTTTCTTGTGTATATTTATGTGTGTTGTGACCCATATCAGTATAGCATATGTGTGTATTTCAGACATTTGTAACGTGCCCCTGTGGTTTGTGTAACGGTGGTCTACACCGGCAGCGATGCAAATTTCCGACATGAATCCTTGAAATGTCCGTACGGCCAGCGGTTTTGAAGTTAACCATAGCGGAGAGCATTCATTTGCCTTATTATCGTAATGATTGAACAGGCTTTCAGCGCTGGGATCCGTCTTTTCAATGAGTATCTTAAGGGGACTGACCGGACATTTACTTGAAACGGGGGATGCATACATCCGTTTCCCCGTGGGAGCCTCGCAACCCGTCAATCCGCCTTGGTAGTTTTTTTGCTGTGTTTCATGTGTACGCTGTACAAACTCGCCATTCTCGTCATTAAGGAAAGAGAACGAATCAAGTTTCAACTGTTGGTGGAACTCTGTGCCACGACTTACAAAGTGTATCGACAAAGCGTACCATACAGCTTGACGGAGAATTACCGGATTTATCTAAGCACTTTCAAGGTAGGGTGCATTTTTTTTTAAATCGACTGCTTCGACAACTTTCTTATGCTGTGTAGGTCTAGATGTACCAGACTTTATTTGCTTTTTCAGGAACCCATTTAGAGTTTTGTTTGCTACCTTAAACTCTTTATCTCGTACAATATCAATATTGCNGTCGTGCTGGCATTTGCTTAGCTCTCTTCTGCTTAGCTCTCTTCTCCACATTTTTAGGTTTTGCTTCACAGTAGAATGCACTTAATCTGTTTGCCAATCCCTCTGTGGGTATACTGTTGAATGGGACATGCTCCCCAGACGTTGCCATGCTCCACTCTACAAAAAAAATGTCTTCTGTGTGATGATGAAGTGCTTTGGATTGCTTGTGTATTCAAAATCAACAACCGAATTTACTTTATCAGCATTAATACCTGTTATTATGCAGTTATACGGAAAGATAACTTTCAACAACATTAAGGGAACAGCGGAGACAGTACGGTAACTTCCGTTAGTTTAAACATGGAGGGGGGAGGGAGTGAATTATTACCTTGGAATAAAGATAATCCCCATTGTGTATTTCTCCTTGTTGCTAAAGATTGGTTGGCATCTTCAAAGGATTTCCGCTCCTCCTCTGTAACCTTTTTAAATCGGGAAGGTACAAATTTGTTGGCAGATGATTGAGGAGGGGGATCACTCTGGACCGTCTGCCCGGGGGATAGGATAGCGGGGTCAGCACTCGCGGCAAGTTCTACCTCAATGTCTTGTGCCGATTTCATTTCAATGATTGATGAAAAATCCAGAGTAGAAATAAATCTCTCTACTTCCTCGTCTGACATATCTTGGTGATCGGGTAGTTCCAGCTCAAAAGTTATAGTTTCATCGTCCAGCTGACAGCTACAGTTGTGTGACCGCACAACGCACCAAAAATAGCGTGCGCCCACCGTTCGCACATCGTCCACACATGGTGCGCACAACTGTGCGATTTAACAATCGTTCGCACCGTTGTGCGCTTCTCTCCGCACAACTGTGCGATTTGGTATAATTTGTAGATCAAAATTACGGAATGACAAAAATACGGAAGGCTCGTATGCGATAATGAACCCTTTGAATATATCTGTAATTTCTCATCACAATAATCAAGATTATACACAATGCGTGTTACACAGTATTACAGCGACCGTTAGGCTGTCAAGAATGGGTTTGGCTCCAAGGTAACCGAATAGGTAAATAACAATTTGATGAGTGTCCGAAGTTTTACCTGACCAATGACTGACACACAGAGCTGATATGCGATACCGTATGTCCGTAATGAATAGTATTTGTTATTTGCATTCGTTTGCCTATAGCTCACCTTCACCTGGATTTTTAACACCCCGGCCTTACCCGACGAGTTACGTAAGTGCCCCAGGCGGGGGGAAAACTACGGTCCAGGTACATGTACAGAGTGGTTATGTTTACCTGTATACGGGAATGTGTTGTAATTTTACATGTGTCGATTAAATTTGTTTAAAAACACCGAAAACACAATTTCTAAATATAAGAATGTATAGACAGAAAAATAAGTTTATAGATGTAGCTAGAATATAGAAACATACGTAAAAATCAAGTTAATATGTTTAAACACGAAACCGTATAAATTGTTAAGGCATTCCTCGTCCAGCTTTTTATCGTTCGCCCATCGTGCACACACCGTGCACACTTCGTGCGCACACCGCACATCGTGTAACGTTGTGCGATCCCACAACTGTAAGTTGTTTTGGGACGTTCATTTTGACAGATGTATCAGACGACAGTGTTAACGCTGAGGTGTGGACTTTTTTAAATATTAATTTACAGCATGCAAATTCTGTATCCATAGTACATAAATAACACAGAAATTTACATTTATTTGGGTTAAAATTCAAGTTTATTTTAGGATGTAAGAATTAAGCATCTAGATCGGTCGTTCGGAGTGAGTAGTTTGTGTAGTGTATTACTACGCAGTGTGATCAGGTTACTATGTTTGACACCAGTTCCCACGTGCTGAGATTCTATGAACACCTGTGTTATGCATTTATGAATGTAAATTTTGTCAATGGGTCTAAGCATACAGAATGTAAATATAGGACCATAACAACATTTTCTAAATCCTTCATTATTTTGTTTAATCATCACTAAAACCAAGTAAGAAAAGCTTGTCCTTGGTATTCAAACCTGTTTCAAATGCCAAGGATTATCCGTCTCTCGCTGCATGCATCTTCCAGCAATACCAATATAAGGTTTAGTTCAACTTTCACTTTTATTAAAAGATATGCTTGATATATATTTAAAACGGTGCGCTGAATGTAATAATCTGGCCACCTAATTGAGGGAATAAAAATGACTAGGTGATCAATCACTTTATATATGAATTGTACGGGAAGTATCAGTTATCTGGTCACTAACACCACATTATAAGGAATATTGTACGGGAAGTATAAGATATCTGGTCACTAACACCACTTTGTAAGGGGTATTGTACAGGAAGTATCAGTTATCTGGTCACTAACACCACTTTATAAGGGGTATTGTACAGGAAGTATCAGTTATCTGGTCACTAACACCACTTTATAAGGAGTATTGTACGGGAAGTATCAGTAATCTGGTCACTAACACCACGTTATAAGGAGTATTGTATAGGAAGTATCAGTTATCTGGTCACTAACACCACTTTATAAGGAGTATTTTACAGGATGTATCAGTTATCTGGTCACTAACACCACTTTATAAGGAGTATTGTGCGGGAAGTATCAGTTATCTGCTCACTAACACCACTTTATAAGGAGTATTGTACGGGAAGTATCAGTTATCTGGTCACTAACACCACTTGATAAGGAGTATTGTACGGGAAGTATCAGTTATATGGTCACTAACACCACTTTATGAGGAGTATTGTACAGGATGTATCAGTTATCTGGTCACTAACACCACTTTATAAGGTATTCAAACCTTAAGAGCCCTGTAGTCGATCGTTAAATCTTATTATTTTCTATATTTACTTACTTCACATGGACATCTTATCCTTTTTTATTATAAAATATAAATATTTTGTGTTATATAAAAATGTTGTGTTCAAATATAAACAATTTTCCTTTTAATTGTCGTCGACTTGCTGACGAAGGAAATACCAAATTTATTTCGTAAACTGAAAGTGTTTTAAACGACGTAGTCTGAATCTGTTTTGATATGTAATAATAATTTGTTTGACAATGCAATCAATATCATAACTAAATGTATATTTTAAAGTTTGGTTTATTTTTTCATTTATTTGTTACTATTATAGTTTTGTCAGTTTAAGTAAGAACAAACTTATTGCACTGTGTCAGGTAACTACAACATGCGAACACTTGCCTTAGATCCTTTTTTCTAGTACCTCATACAATTTTCAATCTCAAAGGTTTCAAAACATGATTTGTTTTAATAATAGCAAAAACTGTCTAACTTTATCGCATCAATATATATTGCAGATTCATATCTTGTGATTTATGTGTACTCAGCAAACCTTAAGCCGTCATATGAATGTGCTTCATAATATTTAACATTATTGTCTCTTAATTGTATTATCAAATTCAATTTAAAAAAATATTTTTCAGTTTATTTACGTTAAAATACAGCTACTGGCCTACACTGTACACAAACCCCGACATATCAGCACAATGGAAGTGTACATATTACATATCAAATGGCAGCACGATACACACATGTACAACGACAATAAATACAAACATTGAAAAAGGACCTGAAATCAAGAAAATAAGATTGTTTATTTGATATCCGGAAAGAATCGACCGTGGAAAGTTATAGGAACCCTTGTTGGTAGGTACGCTTTGTTGTAAGTTGTCATGGTAGCTGCATCAATCACTGCAAGGTAGCTAGTGTTTTTCTCACCATCCAGAACGGGTACCATAAGGTAGCCATTGTCTTCTCTAGTGTTGTTCCGGTTGTCTTCCGGAAATGGTATAAACCACGCTTCCATCGGATAGTGATTGGGAATGAACCACATCCGGTCTTTTCCGTTGCTGCACAGGTCCTTTTTAACAAGAGCAAAGTGGCTATACTGTTTGTCGTCCCACTTAGGGACCAAGCCGTACACATAACAGTAGTTCCGGGACCTGTAGTTCTCGTTAATTATCGGCATGTCAAGCTTTGTCACACAGGGATACTTGACAGATTCTGGAAATTTCCTTACGCTCACCTTACTTTCGTTCAAATCAATCACGTATCGTGTTAAAACCGGATTTGTATAAAACTTGTTCCTTTTCGTGCGGTTAAGCAATGCGTTCATGTTTAACTTAAAGATGATTGACGGGTCTTTGTATGTTGGTATGTCGACTATTATCTCATTCCTCTGCGTCTCGAAAGCATTTATTTGATGCAGGTACAATACTGGTGGAGCGGAAAACGTTCTGATGATTCCCGATTTTATCTCGACGACATATATAATCGTATCCTTCTTAGCACCATGCCATTTCATCGCTTTTGAAACGAAACCAGATACTGCGACAACTTTACTGTTGACAAACAGTGGTGGCCTAAAAAATATCACATAATTCGGAGTAACAGAAAAGGAATGCATGAACGGCAGTTCGTCTGTATTCACCGACCACTGTGTCACAACTTCTTGCTCAACATTCGACTTTATCCTGATAAGGGAAAACCGATGTTTAAGTCCAGGGACAACAGCAAGACTAAACAAAAACGTAAAATGATTGGACGTACCGTGTTCTGGCAGAGGATGAGCAGTCGACATACCTTCTGTATATAGGAAACCGGCAATACCGCCCGTCGATGGAACTGTTGGGTGCTGATAACGAATTGTCTCAAGAGATAGCGGATCGATCTCGTAGTGGTTCCATATATCAGTTATCGAAATAAAGTGCCCCTGCTTACTTTTTTCTGACGGGAAGCGGTACACATTCACATTCATATTGTCCATGCCACGCCACAAAGCCAATGCTACCTGCAGGTAACTAAATCGGGGTTGCGTAGGGCCGAACATTAGATAGGCAGAAATGTCGTTTTTTGAGACAGACTTCTTGTAAAATTCGGATTTCATGAATTTTGCAGAGAAAAATACAGAACCGTTTCCTTGAAAACGCCAACTGTAGAGTTTGCCGAACCCGTCAAACATGTGGGTGAATTTCCGTTTTCCAACTTCGAACTGAGAGGGTCCATTTTTTATCTGTATAGGAAAAATGAACGTTAAAAGGTTATAATTATCATGTATCGGATACAATGCTGGCAATGGGTCACTATCCACGTTCACTGGTATTAACATTTATATTTGTCAAAACTAATATTTTCCAATCGTAACCCAAAACATAGAATACAGTTTAAGTGATCTAATTTTATATATGTCAACAACTGAAGATATTCAAAATTGTGTCACGCAGTAAAACAACTGACCAACTATGATATATTTGTCTTATATAATTCGATTTAACCAAAAGTAGTCGGGTTGACTTTAAACCCTACGATCTTTGACGTGGCTACATGACGCTCATATGTCAAAATGGAAAAGAAGTCGGACATTCATTCTGCTCATGAATAGGTTGGAAGGTTAAAGAATACATTAAACAGGAAGCATTTTGAAACCCGAACGGAATACTTGCCGTAATGTTTTAGTCCAGACTTGGTATGTTTGCTAAGTATTGTATGAAGGAATAATGATGTTTTAATCTTAATAAAGTGTTGATAAGTTTTGGTAGGAATATGGAGAGCACATGAGACAGATATACGATTCATTGCTACTTCTGTAATCAAATAATAACGATGGACATAAGCCCGTCAAGTAAGAATCTATCTTAAATCGGCGTTCTGCGTTCTAGTTCGTGGACGCTCTTAAGCCATATAAAAGCGACTTGTTAAAAGAAATTTGGACGATAACATTTTAGCGAATTAGGGATATTTTCATTATAGAAAGAGAGTCATATCGAAATTTATATTTATTTAATAGTATTTCTTTCAGCAATGAAGTTGAAGGTTGAAACAAATGTTTATTAGTTCTAAATTTTGCCATATAGTTTAAACGCTAATGTATATTATTAGCTTTATATATGCTGGATAACTTGTGCCAAAATTCCACATGTTTAAATGGTAATAATAAAACCCGTTTAAATAAAAATTGAGATTGATTGAATGGAGTCGTTGGTCGAGTGACATAAAAATATAGAATTTCGCCAAAGCGTTGTACAGGTAAAATTTAAGATTCCTCACTTAGTCATAGCTTGACAAAGGAACCAATCGGTTTTGAAACGCTGCGACACGTATAATATTGTGTTGAAAGTAAAACGTTGGTATTACATATTTCTATGATGAATCTTATGGAAGACAAATTCTTGATATAACTAACTGAATACGCTTGCAATGCAAGTATTTCAGCTAACAGTTTTTTTCAATTATTTTATTCCAAGATTGTGACACCAATTTGCATAATTATAATTTGATAAAGAGGTAGTAATGTAGCTTAGTTCAAAACCTCCAGACAAAACAAAAATTCAATTATTTACAAAAATATGGTACTGCTGGTTGATACCTTACATAACCTCGTTTTTTACAGCTCAAGACAAACAATAAAGTACGATTTTGACTATATTATAAAACCAATGTATATCAATGAAAGCATTTGTATGAGTATATATTTACATTTCCACTGCACAGAGCCTAGATGTTTCTACTGGGCCCAATGTATATTATTTCCGTATAACATACATTGGGCCATTCTGACGTCGCTACACTTATGGCGTCATAACTGTAACGTTGGAGATTGTACTGCTCCGCTGTCAACTGGTGGCTGTTCTTTGTATGGATTTACCCCGACGTTGAATCGTATTCAGACTAATATTATGTCTTTATTTCTGCGTGAACTGTAAGTTGATTAACATAAAATGTAAATATAAGTATTGGTTGTCATATTTTTGACACGCATTGGTGTGCAGCGCGCACCATTCAATATGTAGGTAAGCCAATGTATGTTACACACCAACGCATTTCAAAAATATGGCAACCAATTCCTTAACTATCTTACCAATGTTCCGGTAATCCATCGAGGTATCGGTTTGTCAAAGTGAATTGGCACGTTTTCCACTTCCTCCTTGTTTGTACGATACAGGTTCTCAAACCCCTTGTCGTGTATAAGGTTCTCATGATTCGAGATACTTCGTAGGCATGAATCTACTTTCGGCCAACAAGTCGCAATAAGGAAAAGTACCTGGAACAGCGATGTGAACATTTTAGCTGTAATGGTATTCTGAGTCACTTTCCGTGGTTTCTACAAAGAGGTTTGGTTCAAGTCATCGACTAGTATAAAATCCTAATACATTTTATATCGGTCAAAACGTCAGGCCCCTTTCCAAAATAGAATATATGGCTTATTTGTCATCAATCAAGGAGGAATTCGACAACAATAGCAAACAATTATTCCAACTGTTTCAATACGCTTTTCTATTGAGAAAAAGAAAGAACAGTTCCGGTGTTGTTATAGCAATGTTCACAGTTCACACAGTGTCTCCTTATGTTCCAACAACATTTCTATATGTTAAAGCATGTATTATCATTAAGACCGATTCGATCTTATATGGCTTTGGAACTGGTGTGTTAAAGATGAATAAAATAATCCTGAATGATCCATCTGCTATCTACAGGTTTTATAAACGGTTCAAGTGTCTTAGAAGGGCAACTGCCTTCAACGAATAAATGGGCATATAAAATAACACGTACTCGTTTACAGAAATCGCTATGAATTGATATACATCCCTCCTTTGATAGCTAATTTTCCTCCCGTATTTCAAAGATGCAGTCCCGATTTAGATAGGGAAAAGATATAAGAAATAACACACATTCTCTATCTGATTTCATTGATAGGTACGAAGTTTTCTGACGAATACTTCCATGAGGGCGCGTATCACAATTCTGTGATGTACTTGATGTTCTTGATTCAAAATAAGTGCTTTATTGGCCTGATTTAACTGTTTGGAGGGGAAACCCCCGTACCACTATACAGGGACAAACTCATGTCAGCATACGATCACATGATAAGTTCGTATGTACCCAAAATGTTAATCCCAGACAACAAGTCATAAATTAAATTGCTGCCACGCCAATCATTGAATGTGATATTTTCCACCAATATCCGTAAGTTTTCAGTTTGATCTCATGGTTCTCGTTATTCTTTGGTTTATTAGGCGGTATGTAAGAATTTGTTTTTTTAATTCCTTTAACACATTCCAAAAAAACACACGCGCAGCCGCCGGTTTCTTTAACTAATTACTATTCGACTTTCACTCTCTAAGTGCAAGTTTGATATTAATTATTTCTAGCATATATTGCATAATAATAATTTCATGTAAATATGCAATGTATATCGTCTTGTATCAATCTTGAGGATTTCCATACATTCTTTTAACAACTCAAAATTCAAACGCTGAGGTCGGGATTCGCTTATCTACATCAAACGGTCGTAATAGAATATTGTTAAGCTGTTATAAATGCTGTCAAAGGATTTGGCCGCTTCTCTACGAATCTGCAATCAGGCTGAAAGTGATTCTCTGATAGACTAAACCGACGTACCGTTTATAGATTTGTTTCAATTTCAGTCGTTTTTATTTCTTTGTAAATAGTAGCACCTCTTACTACTATCTCAGTATTACCATCGCAACAAAAACAAACGCAATATACATATGACATTTCTTGATTGTCCTTTCCAGTAAAAAAAAACGTTCACCTCAATGCCAAGCTTTTATCGCAACTCTGTGTTTCTTTCAATTGGCATGGCAACGCAATGAACAGAAGTTTAGGAGTACGGTACTCAAGCATGTCCTTGAACAACTTTCTAAATACGTATCGAAGTATATTAATAACGTATTCATCTTATGCATTAGTGTTTCCTTAACATATACGTAGGGCGAGTTATAGATTTGAAAGATACAAAGATACCAAAACATGAATATACCGTTCAAAAATTCACAGGTATAACGAACAAATTTACAACTTACAAAAAAGATCGTAAAAACAAAAAACAGGGGTAACTTTTGAAATAGCTTGTGAATGATCTATTGATACAGGGATCTGAATATATAATGACTTACGTAAATGATCCCCAATATGTTCCGAGACATAGAAAGTGCTTTTGAAATCCATTTTTAACTTTACAAATAAACAATATTTATTTACGATGATATTCGATTTTTAAACTCTGTCAGAATAAACTCCCTGTAATAGGCTATAGCCAACCTCGGGGACTAAAAGACCAGCAGCAGAGTCATTGACCTCTTTATATAAAATATGGCAAGAAAAACAAAGAAATGAAGAACTGTTCTAAAAAATGCAGCAAGCTAAACAAAGTTAACATTATACTGACTCAGTATTGTAGAGTGATTTATATTTGGTGACTTATTATTGTAGAGTGATTTATATTTGGTGACTTAGTATTGTAGAGTGATTTATATTTGTTGACTCAGTATTGTCGAGTGATTTATATTTGGTGACTTAGTATTGTAGAGTGATTTATATTGGGTGACTTAGTATTGTAGAGTGATTTATATTTGGTGACTTAGTATTGTCGAGTGATTTATATTCGGTGACTCAGTATTGTCGAGTGATTTATATTTGGTGACTCAGTATTGTCGAGTGATTTATATTTGGTGACTTAGTATTGTAGAGTGATTTATATTTGGTGACGTAGTATTGTAGAGTGATTTATATTTGGTGACTTAGTATTGTAGAGTGATTTATATTGGGTGACTTAGTATTGTAGAGTGATTTATATTTGGTGACTTAGTATTGTAGAGTGATTTATATTTGGTGACTCAGTATTGTAGAGTGATTTATATTTGGTGACTCAGTATTGTAGAGTGATTTATATTTGGTGACTCAGTATTGTAGAGTGATTTATATTTGGTGACTCAGTATTGTAGAGTGATTTATATTTGGTGACTCAGTATTGTAGAGTGATTTATATTTGGTGACTCAGTATTGTAGAGTGATTTATATTTGGTGACTCAGTATTGTAGAGTGATTTATATTTGGTGACTCAGTATTGTAGAGTGATTTATATTTGGTGACTCAGTATTGTAGAGTGATTTATATTTGGTGACTCAGTATTGTAGAGTGATTTATATTTGGTGACTCAGTATTGTAGAGTGATTTATATTTGGTGACTCAGTATTGTAGAGTGATTTATATTTGGTGACTCAGTATTGTAGAGTGATTTATATTTGGTGACTCAGTATTGTAGAGTGATTTATATTTGGTGACTCAGTATTGTAGAGTGATTTATATTTGGTGACTCAGTATTGTAGAGTGATTTATATTTGGTGACTCAGTATTGTAGAGTGATTTATATTTGGTGACTCAGTATTGTAGAGTGATTTATATTTGGTGACTCAGTATTGTAGAGTGATTTATATTTGGTGACTCAGTATTGTAGAGTGATTTATATTTGGTGACTCAGTATTGTAGAGTGATTTATATTTGGTGACTTAGTATTGTGGAGTGATTTATATTTGGTGACTCAGTATTGTGGAGTGATTTATATTGGGTGACTTAGTATTGTAGAGTGATTTATATTTGGTGACTCAGTATTGTAGAGTGATTTATATTTGGTGACTTGGTATTGTAGAGTGATTTATATTGATTTATATTTGGTGACTTAGTATTGTAGGGATGTAGGCGGGATAAAATATGAACAAAACTTCCTACCTTGGCATCAGAAAAAAAGGTTGTTCATGTCACGCTATTGCATGTCACGTGACTTGTGTTGTTGCCTGCAAAGCGATGAACAGGTCACGGTATGTTTTCAAAAACAGATATAGAGACAAACGCAAGAAATCCTTCCGCATATAAAAATAGTTCCACACGAAATACGCAAATCCACACTATAAATGAATTTAATAAATTCACTTCGTATTTCAGTATTATTTTATAGTGTGCGGTTCAAAAACCGCCACATGGCGAAGACGCGTTTAGCATTGGCCCTTGTTAACATAACTCTTTATCGCCAAGCCCCACCGTTTTCTATTTGTTTACAAGAATTTAAGAATTAAAAATATTCGTTACTCACAACATGGTGTGAATGAATTGACGTTATTGATAAGGAAGGCGCGCGCATTGATCTACACGCTGAACTAAATACATTATGTCGCCTATTACCACTACAGGTTTACTCACTCCTTAGATTAAACAAATCCAGGTGGTAATTAAACAGATCATATAACCAACATCCGGGTACTTGTAATACGTTTAGGAATTATTTTACTCCCCGAAAGTTATCGGAAAGGATCTTGCAATGAAGTCAGTCCAATCTCCGTTTCAAAACAAAAACTTGAGATTCAGTGGACCAATGTACTCGAACGTCATACAGTGTTTCCTGACCGATTTTACTTGGGAATGTCTTTATAGTTCTTATAGTTAACACTTAGGTCATTGATATCATAATAAAAAATGTTCCTGTATAATAAATCAATTTCCCGGTGGCAGTAAGTCTTAACTTCAATGCGCTGCTTGCATAGCGTCTATGAGGGATTAAAAATGTAATTTTTTTCCAGATCAAAAGGCTTAAGGTTACTTATACTATAAGAAAAAAATTGGTTTCTGACAAATAACTAGAGTGTCGATCAAACTTTAACTTCGTACATAGTTTCAAAAGCGTAGTTAGGTTTTATTAATGGTACAAAGATCCTCAAGAACTTGAAGATTGTCATCAACTTTGTTAAATAAAATAAAATTGATCACAATATTACTTGAATGAGGATGACATACTACATATGTTCCCTTTTCTGGTGAGAACATATCACTGACAATCGACAGATCTGTTCGTACTTGTCGGTTTATTGATGATAACGTATGGTTCCACAGGTAATTGTTTTAATGTCTACATAAGGTGTCATTCAGATCGTTTACTACTGTAAAGAATCATTATGTGAGATCGATGTATTTTTAATTCCTTCACATTCAAGTCGTTGAAAAAATATAGGAAGTAGTAATATATGGTTGCGAGACCATATGAAATCTAAACTTCTTAAGTAATGTACTTTAAATAGTATCACTTTTTCTTCATAGCATCTGCTCTGTTTGGTTCTTGTTTGTTTTTCTTGTTTTTTAAAAAAAAAATAAAAAAAAATATAATCGTACATATTATGCTTAAAATCAGCCAATCAGGACAGAGGATTTATATGACGGCAGAATGTAGATTTAACTAGCATAGTGGTTACGGAGTGTTAACTAACCACAAACAGTCCCCGACTAAAACATTGTATAAAATACATTGTCCTAACACATGACCAAACTGACGTAGTAATTTGGTGTATAATCTGTAGATTACGCTTGTGATCAAAGTTAGTAAAATGTAATACAAAATTCAGTTTGGTAGAAGTTTTGCTGGATTCGCGTGGCAAGACTTAAGCTATTGGTTGTCTGAAGTTAATAAACTATGTTGTACGCGGAAGTTTACAAGTGACCAAAACGCTGCGTGATCTAGTTTGGCCGGTGTAATTAGATTTACTATTAAGTATATAGAATTCCGGTGTATGTACATACTACGGGGCGGTCTGACCTATAACATGTATCGATATATGTAGCTGCCATAGAATTCCGGTGTATGTACATACTACGGGCGGTCTCACCTATAACATGTATCGATATATGTAGCTGTTGACCGTTCCTGTTAATGAGTGTCCGTTTTGATAAAGTAATCTTATCTGTTTGTCACAATGTAAAAGATCAGGGAGTTCGCGTTATATTATAAACGGATATTTTCATTCGGATAAGTTATCTTTATTACTAGCAGTAAAAACCTTTAAGCACTCGAACTCGGGAGATTAACTCTATGATTGTTTTGTAACGGGTGCGCTTTTTCAAACACTTTGTGGACTATTCAAAAGATTACATTTTATCAAGTAAAGAATGTGATGAACCTGCAACATGACAGTAGTTTCCCTAAAAAGTGTTCAAACCAGCAAACACCGAACTTACGTTAAATCGTGGATTAAGCCAAATTATAACCTTAGTGCAGCCCATTCGTTATTCACAACTGATAGATCAATGGTCATATATGCGTGTATCTTTATTAAATATCCTATCATCTACGGAAGATTTAGGGAAATTGTGATGACTGTTTTTAGTTCTTCAAAGGATGTGTCCATGCGTCATTTAAAGGCGAGACATTGCACGAGGGTCTATTCCTGTACTATCGACACGTCGGACGATTCCTCTTTCAGTTACATATGTCAAGTGCAAGTTCATGAAGTCAATATACATCTTAAATCGTCAAGATCAGCATACAGAAATTTCTAAGGGTTCTTGTAAATGTACAGAGGTTCCAATGGTCAATTACCTTCTGTAATGATGAATCATGCCACGGTTAGTTGTAGAAATATTTATGTAGCACAACCAGGTAAATGATTTTGTGTGATGTTTCGATGACGAGAACGGTACTCTTTCACTCTATACAAAGTATACATACGCTTTCAGCGTAGCCGAATCGACGTCGTCGATTATATAGTATCAACCCGAACATAAATTACAACCTAGAGTACAAACGCTTCCCTGGTCATTTTTGACGAAGCTGAAAGTGTACATTTATCAATATCGTACCTATGCTATCAAAATGTCACACAGAAACACTTACCTGTGGTTGTGATAGATGTATATAATTTAATCGTGCTTGTAACAAGCATTTCCATTGGCTTAAAAATGTATGCCATAACGTAAAAAAATGACGTCGCCATTTGTAACGTCGCTTTTGAGTGGTTGATACAGCGGCGCAATAATTTCTAAGAGAAAAGAGTCCATCAATAAAAGTGGATTTCCACAGGGATTGTGTATAGTAGATTAAATTATAAGGATTAACTTGAATATATTTTTCATGTTATGGAGATATAACACAAAAAACCGGAGTGTACTCAAAATAAAACCGCGGTTTATGATGAGAGTACACTCCGGTTTTTTGTGTTATAGCTCCATAACATGAGAAATATATTCATGTTAATCCTTAAATAATCCTTTCGACAATCCATACTTACCAACCTGCAGATTTTTTTTAAGGGAAATATTTTTATTAAGTTCTTAGTCGTGAGAATAACATATGTTACAAGTGCAGAGAGAGTATTTCAGGTGATTGTATGTATATTGTTTTAAGAAGGTTTTTCTAAAACATGCGTGCAAAGGACTTATGTCTGCACCAAGAATAATGCGCGGTGGATATGTAAATACATGTAAGTTCAACCTTAAGCTTAGCAAGGCGTTTTTGCAGGTTTGGGAATACTTTTGTCAATATTGGTTCGTTGTTTAGACCACAATGTATCTGCCTGTGTGTGCCTCATGGTTGATGTAAGAAGATAAAATCTTATTTTTTTATTTATTTTTTACTTTAGTGACACATTTTGAGGATTTGGCATGCGTGTCACAAAATGAGTTAAGATACATATGTAACATAAATTTATCACATAATTAAGTGTTGTAAATACTCCTAAGACTATATATTCTTATTCTGACCTAAATTCTAAATTATCTACATTTTGACTCGTAGGTATTTTCTCTTTTGTGACCACGACGATGCAATGGCAAGTCCGCGATACCATGGTCTTGTCTAAGTTGTGACGTCAAAATGGCATCAATATGAACCTTTAGACAATCGCAGCACCGTTATGTGTTATCAAACGTGTGTCATAAGACATGTAGTCTAATAAAATGCCATTGATAAAAGATAATGATGTTTTAACTCAACCTTTATATCATACTATATGATGACCAGGGCGTCATAATTGTTAGTATAACGGTTAGGAGTAAGTTGGATCCAAATAGGCGAGATAGGATATATTGTCTATTTTCTTACTTTTCTTCGGAGGAATCTGCACAAGCTAGTACAGTAACTATTTAACAGAAACTTTAATCAAGTTTATTATTTCTTTTAAAAGTGCTGCAGTTTGTTTGTGTCCGGTCAGAACAGCCATGTGCTCTAGAAGGCTAGATTTGTTTATTAAAAATCAGAGATGGCTATATGATTGTTTGATTCAGAAGTGTGTGATATCGGTGGAGTTCTGACCAGTAGCAACGATCAGAGCTCGTGCGAAACAAGTCATCATCGGAACCTCGTGGTAGGATCCAAAGTACGGATGGGTGCTGCAGGGACCCGATGTATCTGGTCTGATTTATGTTGAGATTAAGTTGAGGGAACGGCTCACAGAGGATTTACCTTCTGTCGGTCGTGTCCAGCTTGGAGACGTCTGTGCTAGTTTAATTTCGAGGTTTTGCGCTTCATCACAGATGCACGGATACTCGTCAAGAAGTCTATCTCTGTATTTAGAATCATCCCTATTTGTTATTATATCGTATTTGATTGTAAAAGACAAACAGGATGAGTCTGCCAGTTTTTTTTAAAACAATAACACAATACAAAAGACTGCATATGTTGTAAAAAATATTTATTAAAAATACCGTTAGAGTTTTAGTATTTCACATAGGAACATAAACATAGAGTCCTAACATTGTTTTAATTATATGTACGGTAACACATCTTGACTAATGTGTTTTTAAACAGATGGGTGCCACATCGTCAAAAACGTTTTGAGTTCCGTAACAACAAAGAGAATGAAACCCATTTTAGGGGGAACGGGGAGTTTTTTTCTGAAAATATACAAGTACCTTAACTCTTGCATGTATGCAATGATAAGAAAATGTAGATGTGGTACAGAGTCAACTTAAAAGAACCGTACCGCTAACATTCACTCTTTTTTAAAGGATAAATATGGCATTTCTTACTCTTTTTATATAGCGAATGTTATTAATTTCCCGTTAATATTTTTCTCAGGAAGTGAAACGTGTCAAAATTAAAAATATAAAACAGAATTTTTATTTATTTTTTATTTTTTACGTACCGTAAAGAAATCAATATTTTACATATTGTTAAGCATGCGCTTGTATAAGCATGATGTAATGGCGTTGATCATGCTAAAACGTGGTCGACCAAGCAGGCGGACAGAATCGGCGAGAAAAGGGTAAAAGCTGGAAGCCGAACAACAGCGCAATAAAGTGCATGTTTACGTCGACAAAGCCGTCGACAAATGGAGTGCGCTTAAGGAGGGAAAAGGGTTTCTCCAATACTAAGAGTTGCCATATTTGACTTGACATGAGACAAATGAATCGTCTTAGGGTAACACACATCACGTTTATTGTGTAAATATAGTCCCTATTCGTTTGATTCTGCTTTCGTGAGATCTCGAGAATTCGCGTATGCATACTAAGGACGTAAACATCGCATCAACCTTGCTTCTGGTGAGATGAGTAGCAGTAGCAAAAAAAAAAAAGTTTTCACACGCTTATATTTTACATAAATATAAGTCATTAACATTTTAAATCCTTAATTTCTACCCGATATACCGATATATGTTTGTGGAATGGTATGACTGCAATTTTAAACCATAGTTTTTTTCCCCCGACAGATTACGGCGAGGTAACCTCAAACGTTTAAAACGGAAGTGGTAGTATCATATTCTATAAATATTTACACAAGTATTGATTACTCTTTTTAACATACAAGTATAAACTGGAGAAAAAGCAAAATGGGAGTTATTGACCACAATACTTGACTGAGAAATCTCAATCAAGTTATCAAGCTCCTAATTGGAATCCAAGGTGCTTGTCAGCAGCGTATGTTCCTGTATTAGCTCCCGTAATAGCTGGAGATAAGATAGAACAGTATAGGAAATCGGTTGAGACGATGGTCAGGGAAGATTGCAAGATATCATGGTGACTGGACTTAGAAAGATAACACCACTTTGAAGTAAAGCAGTACACTCCAAAACAAATATTCAAAACTAAAACAAATATTGAAAATATATCCGCTCAAGCGAGAAGCTACATGCGTATTTCCGACATCAAAGTATATCCCCAATTTGTAGTGTCTCAGATATGGCCAATTATATATATGATATAGATTATTTCTATTCTGAATTGAATTCGATAACTCCTGATGTACGCTTTACAATGGCACTTAGCTTTGGCAGTCTTCCTTTTGTGGATGTTCTTGTTAAAATTGTAATTTTTTTGTATCATATTAATCCTCGTAATTTCAAATTATTCCTTTAGTTCGAACTATTGAAATTCACATGAAAACAGATAACCTATGAAAAAGTTTTTTTTTACAAAAATACAAGCATAAATATACCGTTAAACCTTAGATTGCTTTTACATTTACATTTACTGTTTATTACAATATGAACTGTAAATCAAGTAGTGTAGTATAATTTAGTATGTTAAAATTGGTCAGACTTTTACATCAGTCAGACAGGTTGTGAACATCGAAAAGGGTTATCAATGATTTTACCCCTGCATATCTCAAAACACACACTTTAGTCCAGGAAAGTCACAACAGAAACACACGCACCGCAACAGCAGGAAATTACCGTATACCAAAACACAAAACAGAACTTTTCAAGTAGTCATTTTTATATCAAGGACCACATCTTTGGAACAGCCTATCCACTCAAACCAAATCTTCCAAATCACTTGCAGTATTAAAAACCAACTGCAGAAACGATTTTAAACTACTGGTATAAAGCAAAAAAACCCACTCTCTTTCGGCCTGATCTGGACATTACGACTTTCCCAATAAGCAATATACTACGATATGTAATTATGTTTCAGCAGCGTGTGTTACTATAACAGTATGGTTGACATAGGTGTTGTAATGAAATGTAGTTACATTATTAATTACTCAATTGAAAAGCAGTATAGCTTTATATATGTATACAATATATCTTTATAATGTATGTTTTTGCATTATCTCTTATATTTGTAACGTATTATCCATGTTGTACATACTTGTATATATGTTTTCGGCCATGTGTGAGAAGAGTCTGTGACTTAACATGTTATTATCGAGTGTAATTAAAGCCTATTATTATTATAAAGGATATCTTTAACAGACAACAAACAAAGAAAGGTTAATCCTTTTACAAAGTTTAGAAATAAGACATAGCGACCAACTTCAAAACCAGCAGTTTTCTTCCTTCGAGGGTCGATCGTTATAGATTTTTTTTCTGTATACCTGTATGTTATACAAAAGTTAAATAATATCCTAAAGAGTTGTAGAGCAGCGAAAGGCCTCGAGAATCGGTCTTGTGACTTTCAAAAATGTGTATGTATATATAATGTCTTCGCAAAATGTTGTGTACGTATTTGTTTGTTGTGTTTTTATGTTTTGCTGTTTGCCATAAACGTACATCTTTATATCATATTAGTGGTGAGAACGTTATGAGACAGCCGTGTATATTTATGAACACACTTCAAATGTAGGAATACAAATACATGAATATGTTGAGACAGCATAAGGGAGAGAGACAAACTGCATTACACGATTATTCTTGTATAACTGTTTCTATAAATACATAGTAAGTGTGTGAATGTGTGTCAATATGTACGAATCCACTTTCTGCACGAGAAAGACAATTGCAAGTAGATTACCCCGGGGTATTTACCCTACTAAGCTATCGAATAATTAAAGGTAATCAAATTTAACATCACAAATTCTTTTTAAACGATTGGAAAAGGACAAGCATAGCATTGTTCCCAATGCGATGAATTCAGTTTCTTCGTGTTACTTTTATAATTTATAAACAAAACAAAACGAAGCAAAATTCTGCAAAGAATGTAACATGATATTGTCATTCAATACCAGGAAAAAATCTCCCGTGAAAGGTTTCAGGAACACGTGTTGGCAGGTACGCAGTGAAAGAGGTTTTCATAGACACAGCATCAATAATGGCAAGATAGCTGACGTTCTTCTGACCATCCAAAACAGGTACCAACAAGTATCCGGCATCTTCGTCAAGGTTAGTACTGTTTACTGCCGGAAATGGAATAAACCACATTTCCGCCGGATAATGATTAGGATAGAACCACATCCGGTCTTTTCCATTACCACACAGGTCTTTTTTGACAAGAGCAAACTGACTATACTGTTTGTCGTCCCACTTTGGGACAAAACCGTACACATAACAGTAATTCCGGGACCTGTAGTTCTCGTTAATTATCGGCATGTCAAACTTTGTTACACAGGGATACTTGACAGATTCTGGAAATGGCTTGACACTTACCTGTGTTTTGTTCAAATTTATCCCGTAACGTGTTAAAACCGAATGTGGATTCAGCTTGTTTCTTTTCCTGCGGTTAAGCAATGTTTCCGTTTTCAAATTCAAAATGACTGAAGCGTCCCTGTAAGTTGGTAGGTCAATTATGATCTCATTAGTCCACGTCTCGAAGGCGTTTATGTGATGCATATAGAATACTGGCGGGGCTGTAAACGTTCGGATGATTCCTGATTTTATGTCAATAACATGTATGGTCATGTTCTCCTCGGAACCGTGCCATTGAAGTCCTTTTAAAACAGACCCAGAAACTAGGAAGGCATGGAAATTAAAAAATAGTGGTGCGCTGAAAAGTATCACATAATTTGGAGTAACGGAAAATGAATGCATGTAAGGTGCTTCGTGTTGATTCACGGTCCATTGTGTAACAACCTCACGATCCATCATTGACTTTATCCGGATAAGCGAAATCCGATGATTAAATCCAGGAACAACAGCAAGACTCAGCAAAAACGTGAAATGATTAGACGTGCCATATTCTGGAAGTGGATGAGGTGTCGACATAATGTTCCGAAAAATGAAACTATTAATACCGCCGGTCGATGGAACTGTTGGGTGCTGATAACCAATCGTCCCAAGAGATGACGGATCGATTTCGTAATTGTCCCAAACATCAGTCAACGATACAAAATCACCCCGGTGACTTTTTTCGGACGGAAAGCGGTAAATGTTCACATTCATGTTGTCCATATTTCGCCACAATGCTAGTAACGTCTGTACAGGGTTAAATCGCGGCTGTGTTGACCCGAACATCACATAAGGCGATATGTCACTCAGTGAGATAGACTTCTTGTAAAACTCCGATTTGATGAATTTAGTAGAAAAATAGACGGAACCGTTTCCTTGAAAACGCCAACTGTAGAGTTTGCCGAACCCGTCAAACATGTGGGTGAAGCTGCGATTTCCAACCTCGAACTGAGCAGGTCCATTTCTAATCTGCATGAAAAGACAATCAGACATATATAACTGTGAGTAAATGTCAGCCATTTATTTTGATAGGAGTAGATTTACCCATATTGATTGATACATGTATATATAAACTTGTTTATTTTATAAAAAAAAATTATTAAACAAGTTATCCCAACTTAAATGTATTGATCACTTTTGTTGGCCCGGATGTAAGCACGCGGGAGTCGTCAAGTAGGAAAACTGATTAACAATGGTTTATACGCCACGACTTCATTCTGTGAGACTATAACTCAATAACCTTTGTTGAGATCATTGTCATTATCACCCGATTACGACAGCCATTCTCGTGCGCGTATGAATATAAAATTCAACATTAAATTACCTTAACAAATGCTTAATAATCCTCGTGCGCGTACGAATATAAAATTCAACATTAAATTACCTTAACAAATGCTCATATATTATATGTATATTTATGGATGTATACGTACCACGTATCAATTAATAAAAATATGATAGATCCCTTACCTCCCCAAAATGAATTACACTGTATCATTTATCTGTTTCGCCTAGGACTCATTGGTGTTGTTAGGGACAAAAAAGAGTCGGAGAAACAGAGGGACAGGTGCGTACCTAACCCTACTTTCCTACCTTTAACTCCAAAAAAAGGTTAGGTTACGATAGAGGTGCAAAAGGACAAAAATGTATTATTTTTTGAAAAAAAAATCTGACATTTTCCAACTCTTTGTTCGTGTATATAGAAGGCCCAGGTATACTTTAAACGGGCCGGGTATATTACACGTAAAGCTAACACAGGTCTAGGGGAACCACAACTACCACACATCATGAACTCGGCCCTTGTGCTACTGATACAGACCCTAGACCGTTTTTCTGTACCAAAAGTGCGTTGCGTTTCCGTTGCGTTTGCGTTCCGTTGCGTTGCGTTTGCATTCCGTTTGCGTTGCGTTTGCCTTGACCGTTTGTTGTGCGTTTTAACTTTAGCGTTGAATGTGCGTTGAACTTGCGTTTTGCTAGTTATGTAAGAAAATGATCGATGTCTATGTGCAGGTTATTTTAAGAATATGTGAGTGCTGAAATGTTTTTGTATATATATAAAAAAAGTTATATGTATAATAAAGTTTGCAAATTAGAAACAAAAAATAAATATACAAATAGAATAGATAAATACCAGAAATAATCGGTCAGAAGTTTATCAATGACTTATATTCATATTCGAATATTTGGGCTACACCGTGTGCTGATTGATGGGTGCATGTCTATACACGTACCTTAATTGACCAGTAAAATTATAAGTAGAAAATAATTGAGTTATTAGTTATTTGTATATTTTGAATATTTAATATCCATACTTATATCATTCTGTTCATATGAATATATATGAATCAAATTACACTAAATATACAAATACTTCCATCACTGATGGGCTGATGGTTTCGTTATGACACCAGGGTAGTCTGGATTGAAGATATATAATTAAATTGAATAAACTTGAATAAAACAAATTAATTAATAAATTTATAAAATGAAATAAATTAAATGACCATAATAACTTAAATAAAATAACTAAATAAATGCAGGTGATATATATGGTAAATTCAGTTTACATTTGCAGGTGATGTAGAAGGGTGTAGGTGGTAAAGGAAGTATAGGTAATGTATGAGGATATATATGGTATATGAAGTAAATATGATGTAGGGGGTATGTGTAGTATAGGAGATAAATGTGATGTACATATGTAGAAGGGTATAGGTGGTATAGGAAGTATATGTCTTGCATGAGGGTATAAGCGGTATAGAAAGTAAAGGTGATGTAGAAGGGTATAGGTGGTATAGGAAGTATATGTGATGTAGGAGGGTATAGGTGGTTATAGGAAGTATATGTGATGTAGGAGGGTTCATGTGGTTATAGGAAGTATATGTGATGCATGAGGGTATAAGTGGTATAGGAAGTACAGGTGATGTAGAAGGGTATAGGTGGTATAGGAAGTATAGGTGATGTAGGGGGATAAAGGTGGTATATGAAGTACAGCTGATGTAGGAGGTATAGGTGTTATAGGAAGTGTAGGTGGAAAATGAAGTTAAGGTGACGTAGGATGGTAAAGATGGTGTAAGAGGGTATATGATGTAGGAGGGTGTATGTGGTATAGGAAGTAAAGGTAACGTAGGAAGGTATATGAAGTATAGGTGATGTAGGTGGGTTTAGTTGGTTATAGGAAGTATATGTGATGTAGGAGGGTATAGGTGGTTATAGAAAGTATATGTGATGTAGGAGGGTATAGGTGGTTATACGAAGTATATGTGATGTAGAAGGGTGTAGGTGGTATAGGAAGTAAATGTCATGTAGGAGGGTATAGGAAGTAAATGCCATTTAGAAGGGTTATGTTGGTATAGTAGGTATAGGTGGTGTAAGAGGGTATAGATAATGTAGGATGGTATAGGTGGTATATGACGTATAGGTGACGTAGGCGGATATTGTTATTTAATGTGATGTAGGATGGTATAGGTGGAATAGGAAATAAATGTGATGTAGGAAGCAAAGGGGGTATATGACGTATAGGTGATGTAGGAGGGTATATGTGGTATAAGACGTGTAGATGATGTAGGAGGGTATATGTGGTATAAGACGTGTAGATGATGCAGAAGGGTATATGTGATATAGGAAGTTAATGTGATGTAGGAGGGTATATGTGGTATAGGACGTATAGATGATGAAGGAAGTTTAGGTGGTTTAGGAAGTATGGATTGACGAAGCCTCTTTGACAATGAGGGTATAGGTGGTTTAGGGCGTATAGTTACTGTAGGAGAGTATAGGTGACATAAGAAGAATAGATGATATAGGATGGTATAGGTGGTTTATGAAGTATAGATGATAAAGAAGGGTATAGGTGATATAGGAAGTATAGATGATAAAGGAGGGTTTAGGTGGTAAAGGAAGTAATGGTACATTAATACAGCACATGAGCCTTCTTTATGAATTAATATAATATATCTTTTTTATACATTTCTAGTTTCAGAGAGTTTATTGGGTGGTGTTAACAATGCAGGTATAGATGCTGGATACAGATCGGATCATTATTCTCCAAAAATGTCTTTAAAGTTTAACACATTTAAGAGGGGAAAGGGGCTGTGGAAGTTTAATAACTCTCTTTTATCTGATAAAGACTTTCTTGATGTTATCAATAAAACAATTACTAAAGTTAAATTGCAGTTCTCTACCCATATATAACTTTACTAGTTTATCGGAAATCCCAAATGAATTGATTCAATTTACAATTGATGATCAACTTTTTTTAGATACTCTTTTTATGGAAAAAAGAGGGGAAACTATTTAGTATTCCTCGTATAAGAAAAAGCAACAAAATGCCAGAGACAAAGAACTAAAAGATTTAATACAAGATTTGGTAAATAGGGATAATGTAGATGTTGAGGAATTAAATGAGAAAAAAACTGAGTTAGAAAAGATCAGGCTACATAAGATTAAGGGAGGTATTATAAGATCAAGAGCTAAATGGTTAGAAGAAGGTGAAAAGCCTGCCAAATATTTTTTTAACTTGGAGAAAGTAAATTTCACTTCTAAGATTATTCAAAAATTGGAAAAAGAAAATGGAGAGATTGTTACACATCAGAGAGAAATCCTTGAAGAAGTTAGATTATTTTATGAAAAACGATATGCAGCAGACAATAATATAGAGGATGTTGTTTTAGAAGATTATTTAGAAAATTTTGAAGTTCATCAATTGAATTTAATTTAAATAAGAAGGTCTTATTACACTTGACGAAGCCTCTTTGACAATGAAAAATATGAAACATAATAAAAGCCCAGGGTCTGATGGTTTCACTACTGAAATTTTTAAATGTTTTTGGAGACAACTTGATGGTTTTGTAGTTAGATCTATAAATTTTGGTTATGAAATAGTTCAACTTTCCATTGCTCGAAGACAGGGTATCATTACTTGCATTCCAAATGATAATAAACTTCATAAAAAACCTGGCGTCCTATTTCTCTTTTGAATAAAGTTTATAAAATAGCTTCAGGAACAATAGCACGTAGGGTAAAAACAGTATTGCAAAAACTTATTAACACAGATCAGACTGGATTTTTGCCAGGTAGATATATAGGTGAAAATACTAGGCTTATTTATGACATCATGCAATATACTGAAGAAAGATATAAATGGGATGTTACTTATGATAGATTTTGAGAAAGCATTTGACTCAGTCTCATGGAAATTCATTGATGAAGTGTTAAGAGTTTTTTAATTTTGGAAATAGCATTAGAAATTGAATAAAAGTTTTTCATTGTTATATTAGTTCTGCTATAAACCAAGTTGGTAATCTTTCTCAATTTTTTTTTATGTCAAAAGAGGCTGTCGTCAAGGCGATCCTATCGCACCGTATATTTTTATTCTTTGCGCTGAAATACTAGCAATTCGGTTGAGAAATAACAGGAAAGTTAAAGGTATAAATATTAACAATTTTCCAATTATATTTTCACAATATGCAGATGACAGTTCACTTATACTAGATGGATTAGAGGAGTCGCTTACTGAATCTATAAAGGAATTGAACACTTTTGCTAGAATATCTGGTCTAAAAATTAACCTGAACAAAACACAAGTAGTATGGATAGGGAGTAAGAGATGCAGTAATGATATTTTATTACCGGAAGTAAATCTTCAGTGGGGTGCAGAACAGTTTAAGCTTATTGAAGTAGAATTTCATGTAGACCTACATGGGATAACCAAACTAAACTTTGATAAGTGGAACTCCTTATCAGAGGCAACAGTTACAGCGAACTCTATGAACATATTTAAGAGTAACCTGAACGCTGACTGGAAAGAGAGGGACAAGGACAACAAATTCAATGTGTGAATTAAGAGATGAGACTCTACAGTGAGACTTTTTAAAAACATAACCATCTACCGCTAGCGCAGCGAAAACATTATAGAATTGATGTACAAGATTTCAATTGGGCCAATACGAGCTTTAAGCTCATTTCCCCGCCAT